TTGGACATTTTTAATTCATACATGCATGCAAAACATGAATTCTGCTCTCTGTGTGTCACAATGACTACTTTAGGGCAATCTTCATCCAGCTGATCTGGAGGATCTAGATCCCCTAGATGCCACTCCAATCTTTTGTATTAAACTTAAAGGGAATGAGAATTTTTTATCTTTACCCATTTGCTAGAAAGAGGTTCAATGTCAGACAATGCAATAGGAGAAGTATGTACATACATCTCACCTATTTCTGCATACCCCCTTTTTCATTTTGTTTTTTAAATAGATCCATCTTTGCTGTGGGGACCAGTCTCTTGGAAGCACTGAAATACCACTAGCTGGTTTGTTGAAGAAAGACATTGTAGAGTTTGAACATCCTCTGGCAGTTGAAGAGGCATTCATCCTTGTTCCACCAAATCGAGCCAAGCAAAAACTGCCACCGTTGCCTTCTGATCTGGCTCCTACTGTTGGGGTATCTGTAACCTTGCAAAAGGAAAACATGCACTCACAGGTATGAATTACTCGTTTTTAATTTTGATTTAAATATGGTTTTAAGAGTTATAATGAACTTAACTCTTATTTTGAAAAACCGTGTATTACATTTTAAAGCACAAAAGGAAAACCAAGAGAAAAAAATACAATATTTTTATTACTTTTTAATTAACTTCTTCTTTGCTTACCTATATCATTAAAATATCAAATTACATAGATATTTTAAAGAATATGTATACACATTTAAAACCATTTGATTTTTGTTTAGCCTTTGCTTCAGTTAGTCACTCAGACTGAGGCAGAACACTCGCAGAGAAGAGTTGGCTCCCCCACAAGGGAAAAAAGCAGCAGCCCAGAGCACAGATCCCAGAATGCACCAAATGGCCAATTCCCTCCCACAAAGGATGAAGCAACAGAAAGTGAAGCGGAAAGTCTTCAGTCTGACAAGGGCACAAAACTAAATAAAAAAGGTATGTGTTGTTATAACGAGGAATGCTCCTGGAACCATTCTGTCTCCTCGATCACATTCATAGATTCATAGATTCATAGATTAAGGGTCGGAAGGGACCTAGTAGATCTTCTAGCCCGACCCCCCACCAGGGCGGGAGAACAACAAAAAAACCCCAAAAAGAGAAACGGGACTCAAACGAGTCCAGCCAGGTAGGCATCCAGCCTCTTCTTAAAGACCCCCAGGGTAGGGGCCAGCACCACTTCCCTTGGAAGTTGGTTCCAGCTCCTAGCCGCCCTAACTGTGAAGTAGTTTTTGCGGATGTCCAATCTATACCTCCTCTCCATCAACTTGTGCCCATTACTCCTTGTTATGCCAGCGGGCGCTAGGGGAAACAGCGTCTCCCCCAAACCCTTCTGGTCCCCCCTAGTGAGTCTATAGACGGTCACCAGGTCCCCCCTCAGCCTTCTCTTGTGGAGGCTGAACAGGTTCAGGTCCCGCAGTCTCTCACTGTAGGGTCTGCCCTGTTGTCCCCGGATCATGCGGGTGGCCCTCCTCTGGACCCTCTCCATGTTGTCCACATCCCTCTTGAAATGGGGCGCACAGAACTGGACACAATACTCCAGCTGTGGCCTGACCAGCGTCGCGTAGAGGGGGAGGATCACCTCCTTGGCTCTACTCGAGATGCACCTGTGGATGCACGACAAGGTCCGGTTAGCCCTGCCAACGATGACCTCGCATTGTCGGCCCATGTTCATCTTGGAGTCAATAATGACTCCAAGATCCCTTTCTGCCTCCGTGCTCTCGAGTAAGGAGTTCCCCATTGTGTAAGTGTGCTGCTGGTTCCTACTGCCCAAATGCAGCACCCTGCACTTGTCCGTGTTAAAACGCATCCTGTTCCTGTTAGCCCACCCCTGTAACCTATCCAGATCCCTCTGCAATCTCTCCCTCCCTGCTAGCGTGCTCACCTCCCCCCAGATTTTGGTGTCATGTGGATCCCTTTTTTATGGGGATATTTAATACTAAAAGTTAACGCATATTTAAAAAAGAAGAAGACAGTAACAGCCGAAAATAAGTGGAAGAGCCAGTGCTCAGTAATCAATGTTCTGTTGGTCACTGGTAATTTATTAACAATAATTTGAAATACACTGCTATAAATCAGGGGTTGGAACATATTGACAGTGGGCCAGATCTGGCCTGTGGCAGAATTCCCTACAGCCCTCAAAGCAGCTAGAGGCTTATAGAGTATCCACAACCACACACTTCTTCCAGCCTAATAAGACACTACTTGTCCAAGGCGTGGTGTCAGGGCAGCCAACAGCTAGGGGGTTAACACAGTCCCCCTACTACACGCACTGCCTTTCTCACTGCTGTTGAAAATTTCCGAAGATAGAGGTTCCACAAGCTCTGTAGGTAGCTTATTCCAAATGCTTAACCACCCTCATGGTAAGAAAGTTGTTTTTTAATACACAACTTGAAATTTCACTTTTTTTAATTTAAGTTACTTCTGTAAACAGCTTCCTTTGTATTTGAACATTGTAATCAAATTCTCCTTCAGTCTTTTCTTCTCCAGGCTAAGAAATCCCAGTGCTTCCAACCTTCTCTCACAAGTCATACCTTTAATGTTTTGTTGCTCTCCTTTGGAGTCTTTCTAATTTATTTCTTCTCTCTTTTGAATTGTGGTGCCATTATTGATTTGCATATTCCGGGTGAGGCCTTCACCAGTACTGAGTAGTGAAAGAATCATTTTACTTGACTTGCAAGAGACACTCCTGTTCAAACAACCCAGTATGTTATTGGCTTAAGGCAGGATAAAGTGGCACCTTTATATACTAATTCCATTCAGAAACTAATTAGCTTTCATAGGCAATGGCCCACTTCATCAGTGACTCTTATGACAGTGATTTTTAACCAGGGTTCTGCGAGATCTTTTTAAGGGTGCCATGGAGTACCATGCAATGTTAACACTGTTAGGGGTACAAACATGATTCACAAGATTAAACCCAGAGATTTCAAATAGGAATCCCTAGTGTACTGTAAAAATATTCTGACGGCTTGTGGCCTTTGTAACAGAAGAATTGTTTTGTTGGTTTTCTATACTCAAAAATGAGTGAGAACTCACATTTTGAGGGGTGCCTTGAGTCTAATGAAACTGAGAACAAGCCAAATACTGGCTTGTTTTGCAACAAAAGTATCCTGTTGATTCCTTTTCAGCTTATAGTCTACTATAAATCTCAAGTCCCTTTCTCCAGTATTGCAGCCTAGCTAATCATTCCCCAATTAGTAGTGTTTTAGATGGAACAGAAGATAAAGCTGTTTAAAACTCCCTTGTATTATAATTTCAGCTTTGACTTCTCCAACATCTGTTTCTCAGTCCAACCCTCAGCCTGCATCCAGTGCTTCTGAGTCTACTTCAACGCAAAAAATTGTAGTGCCCGCAGCATCGCATCATTTTTGCTTTTCAATAGATTTACAGAGTATTCATAATCTAGATGTTGGATTTCCAGTCAACTGCATGTTAAGGTATGTTATATTTTATTTGCTGATTGTGCTGTTAGTAGTGATACTGATTCTCTTTTTCCAGATAAAAAGAAAGAAATACACAACTTGGAAGTATTGGTAATAGAGGTTGCCATACCTTTTCACTTCAAGTAGCTGCTTATCAATGATGAGTGAAGCATTAAAATATCAGGCCTTTTCATAACAAAAAATGTTCTGAGAATAGCAGGATATAAAGTAATATTTTACTTTTATTGGATTTTCTTATTATACCTATCACTAAGATCTCAGCCCAAATGATACCAGTCATTACTCAGGCCTTAGATAAGAGAAGATGGTTACTATGTTTTGTACCTACTTTTTCAGAATGAGCGTTAGTAGCCTTGCCCACTTATTCTTCATCCAATAATGGTTCTCTGTGGAGCTTATTGTAGTTCTTTTGCTAAGGCACAGATTACCACAACCTGATTTTTATGGCTGAGTGGGGTCCTTTGGATTCTCACATTTTGAGAACACGTTTTGGCAGTCTGTTCCTATCGGGAAAAGGAAAAAATGACATAACTGTTCATTTTTACAAAGCTTTCTTCTAGAAGAGCTCTCCCAAATTGTTATCCTGTATTGCATGTAGCATTTTCATTAAAAATAAAAAGTAATTTTTTCTATTTTAGATGCTTCAAAATGTGTGGCTGCAGCTGTTGATTTCCCCAGAAGCTGAAGACTAAAATAGTCTAACTAGTAATCTGTACATATTCATTTAATTTCCTGTTTGTTTTGGAGTCTAGCTTCATTTTAAGTTGGAACAATTTAAACAACAGTACATACATGCACTACTGGGGAATGATAGTCTTGTCAGCAGCAGTATCTGAGACAGATTTTCTGTTCTGTTGGTCAGCTGGCTGATAGCATTAGTAAAATAGTAATTGGCCTTCCATTGATCATTAATATAATGTCACTGGGTGCTGGTTCAGGATAATATTGTGTGGTATTCCGTGGGAATCAAAAAATATTTCAAAGGCTTAGCTCTGACTTCAAAATATGCATTTAAAATGGGTTAGAAATCTATCTTCTTGTAATTTTAAACATTAAATATAATCTCATTTGTGGCTAATTTCTTTTTTTTAATGCTTGTTTGATGCAGTCTAAATAAGATAATAAGATTTAGTCTCCCACAGTGCTTTCAGAAGGCATATGTGTGAAAATCTAAAAGTTTTTAAATAATAGTAATATTTAACATTTTACCCATGAGTCTGAATATTAGCGGTGCCTGTTAAGCCCATGGCTCCATTCAAACAACAATGAATTTGGGGCTCTTATCTTGTATTATTAAAGCCAGGAGCCTGGAGTGTCAGTGTCTGATCTGACTCTTTGGATGTTGATTTTTTGATTTTTAATTTTAGTTGTGTATACAGAGTCTACAGGGGGAGTCTTGATTTATCAGTTGATGACACTAGTAACTTAAGATTTTCTTTAATACTCTTACATCAGTTACACAAATTGGATGAGCAGGTTTGTCTTAGTCAGGAAACCTATTCTAATTGTGCTTTTTTTTATCTCTTATCATTAGGTACTCATATCCGTTTTTTGGTAGTGCAGCTCCGATTATGACAAATCCTCCTGTAGAAGTGAGGAAAAACATGGAAGTCTTTCTTCCTCAGTCTTATTGTGCGTTTGACTTTGCAACTACACCTCATCAGCTTCAAGAAACTTTCCTCAGGTAGAACTTGCTTGTTTTTTGTTTCTCTTTAATTAGAGGGAGTATTACTTAACTGTGTGTTCAATATAGAAATATAGTAACAAATGGCTTAATGTATCATAAATTTGTATAAATGAGATGCTTTTCTTGTCTTCTAAGGTGTACATGCTACAATTCAATAGTACTTGCTTACATTGGATGGGATTTTTAATTCAATGATTGTTTCCAATAGAGGCATCCATTTGCATTAATTCTTATCAAAGTGAAAGTTATATAATCTAGCCTTCAAAAGCAGGTTCAGTTTTGCAGTTCTATAGCAAGATTTCTGTGTGCATAACCTACTTTGGCAGTCAAGCCACCAGAAATTTGCAAAATACAGTGGTTGTCAGGAGGATTAGCAAAACTATATGGATTAGAGCAGTGATATTTCAGCCTACTGTATAATGGGGGAATTGGAGAGAACCATGCCTGCAAGTGATATCAAGAGATAATCTAGTCCAGTCCTCTTGTAGCATATGCGGCGGGAGAAAATATTATTGAGGGGGAAGGGGGCTGAGTGAGTGTGTGTGT